TAGCCTTATGGCCTCGCAAAGTATTGCGCACATCCACGGTTAATGCCAGCTCGCAAAGCAGCATATATAGGGGTGCTTTGCGCCCTGGTATGCACGCTATTAACCCACACACCCTGCACCCTCGTGACGTGCACCCTGCACGGATCTGCATTCAACTACCGCTTGGAGTGATGCCCCAACCGCACAATCAGCACCTCCAAGCAGCAACACACAAAGTTCAAGCAAGGGCCAAGGCACTGCAAAATAATGTGTGGTGGCACTGCGTTGTATCCTCTGTAGATGCTGTGCATGTACATGAGCATTATTGCTTGTGTGACCCATGGGCTTCTCTCCATGCGGGCGCGGACGTGTGTATGTATGTATGTATGTATGTATGTATGTATGTATGTATGTATGTATGTATGTATGTATGTATGTATGTATGTATGTATGTATGTATGTATGTATGTATGTATGTATGTATGTATGTATGTATGTATGTATGTATGTATGTATGTATGTATGTATGTATGTATGTATGTATGTATGCCGCCGCTTCCCCTACATGCTCAAAACATGCGTGGAAGACGACAACACCAGATCACCACGATAAATCAGTTATGTCGTTTGTGGAGGCATCCTCGATTTGGAATATTGTAAAGGTATCATTCTCTACCGGCCTCTTCCGTTGTCCCCCTTTCCTCCCCAGCACCCCACACCCCCTCTTTTTCCCCTCCCTGTTCCCTACACTTGCTTTGCCTGTACCTCTGATGATTGATGAGATGCATCATATGATCCGGCACTCAGCTCTCAGCAAAATGTTTGACCGACATGAGTGGGGCCCCTATCATAACCATGCACATCTCCTACCATTCCTCCACCGTTTACTCCTACCAACCCACTACACTACACAACGTACCCCCCCACACACACATGGCTCCACTACTGCCAGGTCTTCCCTCCTCCCCATTGCTATAGGTCTTCTCCTCTTTACACATCTTCCCCCTCTCCCCCATGGGTGCCATCACACCACCCATCAGCATGGCCTTGCTGCTATCTTTTATCATTCTGCTTTTGCTTGCACAGCTGCTGTTGCTGCTGTTGCTGTTGCTGCTTCTGCTTCTGCTTCTGCTTCTGCTTCTGCTGCTGCTTCTGCTTCTGCTGCTGCTGCTGCTGCTGCTGCTGCTTCTGCTTCTGCTTCTGCTTCTGCTTCTGCTTCTGCTTCTGCTTCTGCTGCTGCTTCTGCTTCTGCTGCTGCTGCTGTCGCTGCTCCTTCTGTATCTGCTTCCGTTGCTGCTTCTGCAGCCGCTGCTGTTGCTTCTTCAGCCGCTGCTCCTGCTGCTGCAGCCGCTGCACCTGCTGCTGCAGCAACTGCTGCTTCTGCTGCAGCCGCTCCTGCTTCTGCTTCTGCTTCTGCTGCCAATGCCGCCACACAAGCCCTGTCTCCTCCTCGTTGCTGCTGGGGTCACCATGATCATCACCCCCGCAGGTCCGTACTAGGTGCTGGCCCATGCTGCACTTCTGTTTCTTGGACAATGATGCTTGAATTCCCCCTGACCCGAGGTGTGGTCGCTTGCCTGGAGTTTCGTTGCAACTGTGGCAGCGCTTGCCAAGCCTCAACAGCTGTGGTGGCTGCTGCACTGGCAGTCGTCGTGGCAGCAG